ATTAATAAAGGTCAGTTTCAAATTATCCTTTAGGACAATGTTTCCTTCCCCACCCCTATAAATATCTGAAGAGACTTTAAATAATGATTACTTAGATACATATAATCCTTGTGCTTCCAGAGTGGAAAATAGTTATTATTTCTTACACCAACTTCAACATATTGACAGTAGTTTTCTGGTGCGGTGCTTTGAGAGGGATTTGGAACCCATGTTCCCACTCTGTGGGGATGAATGTCATGAATGTGCTTGCCAGAGAGAGACAAAGAGATAGAAATGGAAAGGTGAGAAAACACCCCCAACCCCATGGAGGATGGTCATGCCGCAATCCATTCTCCTCTCAGGATTTGGGGCATAAACACACATGCTCCCAGAGTGTTTTCAAGCCACCAGGTCCAGGACTTGAACCACACAGTCAACAATGTGGGATCCAGTGCCTTAATCACCACACCACCAGCGGACCCAGCACCTGTTATCTTACAAGGCTTACTTTGAGCACTCTTATTGACTGCACACTCTTGTGGGCATTGACTTAAACTCACGCTCATTACTCTGCCACCTTAAGTAATATGCCCAAGATTAATAAGACTTCTGGGTTAGCCACCAGCAATGTACCAGGTGGTTTGCTATTGTAACAGTTGATATAAGGAAAGATGAGGAGGAAGAATTAAGTCATTCTTCCCAAATGATGAGCTGGGATAGAAGCAACCAGTATTTTACAATTACCACCTACAGCAGTCATTTGTACTATTTGATAAGAGATACCAAGTCCCTCTTATTATGATGGCCTCTTACTATCGCTTGGCTTATCAGACCTAAGCTTGTATTGCAAATGCAAAGGAAGGCATTTTGTCAGTCATGTCCTACATTTATGATGTACAGTGATCTTTGCTAGTTCAAATTTTGTGGTGCTTCATTTAGGGCTGATAAATTGTTTTAGAAGTATGGTTTTTACATCTCTGGGAGATAAGGAGGTTTCACCATACCCCATGACACTGAAGATATGAAATAACTTATTCGTGACCAAAACAATACCCAAGAAAACAAAATTACGATAGTTAAAACATTCCAGACATTTTCTCTTCAAATGCAATTAAGTCTTTATTTCTAGGAGGGGAGGTCATTTATCATACCGTGCATTCGGTTGGATTTCACGAACTCTTTGTCTTCTTTGTCAACGCTGAAGGGATGCCAGGTAAACTTCTGAATGTTCTCATCAAGATACCTGCTCAGATTCTCATCAAAGACCGTGAACAGTAGGTAAAATTCCTTGTCTATTCCTTTCTACAGAGAAGAAAGAAAGGAAATGGTTAAACTAAACTATTTTGGCCTCAAGCAGCTGCTGTGCTCCCACCCTGGGATTCCTATGGGTAAGCAAAATCGCACACGTTAGGCTGTTTTTCCTGAGCTGGTCACTAGGTTCCAGCCAATCACACCAGCCACACTTCAGTCACTCGAAAGCCCACCTCTTAGGCTGGGGGTGCAGCCCACCCCCCAGCTGTACCCAATCATTTCTCGACCTCACTCCCTCACCTCCGTTTTTGTGGGCGCTTTCCCTTCACTGCACCCGTCACTTTCCCGTTCCACTGACATCTATGCCTTGTAAGCCACACGGGTAGCTGCAGTCTCTTGGAAGCCATCTTCTGGGAGACTGTCTGATTTAAACCACCCACTCTTTGTTTAAATAAACTCTGTTAAATTTTGATTTTGTTCGTAACAATATATAACAAGTGGCACCCACAGGAGTTGGTCTCTCTGCTTCACTTGGAGGTTTACAGAGGCGGGAGGTAGATCAGCCATAGTCACGATTCGTCAGGTCATTTTGTAAATCTGGACTCTTGAGTATGTCTGTGATGAACTGACTCCACCCCCAGAAAATCTGTCCTTCTCATTCTATCATCCTCCATCTACCCCTCCACCCCGCCCTGTGACTTCCTGGCTCGGGAGCCCATGTGCACTGTGGTTCTCCTGCTGTCTGGCTGGTCCTCACTGTCCTTCTGTCCTCGCCCTGGCCTCAGCCCTGGCCCAGTGCTGTCTCTGTCTGTCTTTCTGACTTCATCTCCTTGTTCTAATCTCCTGGTTTGTTCCAACCCCCAACCACCCTGGCCTTTGGCTCCTCCAACAAGTCAGCCCTGTTTCTGCCTTTCCGTGTGCTGTTCCCACTGCCTAGAGGGAGGAGGGAGCCCCTCCCAGGTCTTGCCAGACTCACTCTCTGACTCCATCCAGCCATCTGCACATGTGTCATGTCCTCAAGAGCAGCCTTCCCTGATCACCCCGCTAAAATAAGCACTCATCTCTCACCCATAAACTCATTCTACCCTCCTTTGCTTTCCACAGCACTTATCTTGACCTAGCATTATATTTTATTTAGGAATTTTATTTATTTATTTATTTATTTAGAGAAATTTTGCTATATAGGGCATGTGCACTTGTTGGAGAAACAGAGACACAGAGACAAAGTGAGAAACCACCTTCTAGGGGAATAGCCATGCTGCGGTCCCTTCTCCATTCTCTTCTTGGGATTTTGGGCATGCACACACACATGCCATGTGTGAGTCTTAAGCTGCCAGGCCCAGGACTAGAACTGCAGTCAACTACATGGGAGTCTAGGAATGCAACGATTATGCCATCTGCTGATCCCTAGGAACTTATTTTTTTAACTGGTTTTTTCCTCCTTACTGCAACATGAGCTTAATGAAAGTTAAATGGGGGGGGGGGCTCTCTGTATCTTTGCATAACTGATGAGATGGCTAAAGTACACTGAGTTGAGTGGATATTGAGGGAGTACGGACTACTTTCCCACAAGGTTTATTCCTCATCATCTATGTGAGCATATCTGACCCACGCATCCTGAACTGCTAAGCATGTTTTTCCTTAAAGCTGGCTACAGAGGCGACTGTACTTTCTGTCACTCTGCCTTTGTTTCCCTAACTTGCTTCTCATCCAAGCCACTCTGTCCCACGGCCTGCAGAGGGATCCTCGGCCCTGCCATCTAGCAACAGCTCTCTCCTTAAATGGGTCAAGACAACCTAGACTTGAAGGAAAATACTTTTATGGAGGACTCTCCTTGAAGAGAAGCAGGGATGCTCAGAGAATCCAAGATACTGAGAGCGAGAGAGCTACACACACACGAATATCAGAATGCCAGTGTGAGCACCCACGTGTGAGCTACAAGCTCAGGATAATCCTGCGTGACTGGAGGACACGAAGAGGAGAACCTGACAGGACTCCTGATGGCAGATCAGAGCCTGCAGCAGGAAAACGGTTCTTCGTTTTCTATAAAGGCCATCGATGAACCAGCACAATTTAAAAAGGTGTGGGGGCTTGATTATATCAAGGTAATTTCCTGATCTGGATAATTGTACTGTAAGTCAGAGAAGGTTCTTACTTTCAGGAAACTCACACCACAGAGACAACGCATCTGCAACCTACTCTCGACTAGTGCACGCGCACACACACACACACACACACGCACACGCACACACACACACACACACACACACACAGAAACAAAAAGGAAGTAATAAGGCAAATGAGGTAAAATATTTGTATTTGGGGAATCAAGTGAAGAGTATATGAATATCTTTTGGAGTTTTTTGCACTCTACCGTGAAATCTGAAAATAGTTCAACACAAAAAGATAGATACAGATGTTTGGGTGGTTGAATAGATGGGAAGGAAGGAAGAGAAGAAACAAGGAAAAGAGAAAGAAAGGGGAAGTAGGTTGCTTGATAGAAAGGCTACTGTGAAGGGCCATTAGAAGACAGCCTATAGGGACCAGCAGATGGCATAATGGTTACATTACTGGACGCAGGCAACCACAGTTCATACCCAGACCCAGCAGCTTAAAACTCATGCTGGGCCTGTGTGCATACAATACCCAAAATCTCAGGAAGAGAATGGAGGGGAAGGAATTGCAGCGGGGTCATTATGGGCCCCCCCCTGGAGGAAGGATTTGTCACTTTCTGTCTCTCTGGCAAGGGCATGTGCCCTGTAGAAAAAATCTCTCTAAAAAAAAAAAAAAAAGAAAGAAAGAAAAAAAAAAAAAGAAAAGAAAGTCTATATTACCTGGCCATATTCTGTGACATCCATTCTTGACAATTTACTGGAAAGAGAATCAAACACCTCTTTCGATGTTTATCTCTCCACCTGACCAAAAGAAGGCTGACTAGATTTTTACCTATAGAGGACCTGGCACACAGTAGGTGTTTCATAAAGATTTCTTTCTTTCTTTCTTTCTTTCTTTCTTTCTTTCTTTCTTTCTTTCTTTTTTTAAGTGTTTGCTTATTTATTCCACAAGTGAGAAATATAACACCCACAACAGGGTCCTGATGCTGCAGTCGTCTCTAGGACCAGTCAGCCCTGGTCGTGGAAACACAGGTGCATGGGGTACCCAGGATGGTCTTCAACTTCAAGAGGAAGGAAGAAGATTACTCTTTTCTTTTTTTCTTTTGGAGAGGTTTTTTCTATAGGGTGCGTGCACTTGCCAGACAGACAGAGAGAGACAGAGAGACAGAAAGCAAGAAATCACCCCCCAGGGGGGATGACCACACCACAATCCCTTCTCCTCCATTCTCCTCTCGGGATCTTGGGCACGTGCGCACGGCGCCAGGCGTGAGTTTTAAGCCACCGGGTCCGGGACGCAAACCATGGTCCACTACGTGGGAGTCCAGCAACATAGCCCTTACCCTAACTGCTGGTCCCAAGATTACTCTTTTTTAAGAAAGATTTTCTTTTTTCTTTTTTTTTTTTTTTTTTTCGCTATAGGGCGCGTGATCTCGCCAGACAGACAGAGACAGAGAGACAGAAAGCGAGAAATCAGCCCCCAGGGGGGATGGTCACACCGCAATCCCTTCTCCTCCATTCTCCTCTCAGGATCTTGGGCATGCACGCACATGCACCCGGCATGAGTTTTAAGCCACCAGGTCCGGGATGTGAACCATGGTCAGTTACGTGGGAGTCCAGCAACATAGCCATTACGCTAACTGCTGGTTCCCAAGAAAGATTTTTGCTAGAGAGTACATTCACTCCCCAGAAAGACAGAGAGCGAGAAATCACCTCCCAATGTGGATGACCACGCCTCAATTCCTTCTCCTCCATTTTCCTCCTGGGATTTTGGGCATGCACGCCTACATGCCCAGTATGAATTTCAAACCTCAAGGTCTGGGACTCAAGCCATGGTTGGTCAACTATGTGAAAGTCCAGTGCTTTAACCACTATGCCACCTGCCGGCCCCAGAAATTGCTCCTTGTAACTGACCGTCACTGTCTAATCTCTAGCCATGTATCAACCCACATACAACTCTGACAAGAACTGGGTGATAACTGATGGCTTACCTGTGTCCCGTCAGCATTAAGCGCACCTTTTTTACAGACTAGCAAAGGCCCCACAAGGCCAGCACTGGTGTCCTTAATTGGTTCGACTGCGGAGAAGTACAAGTAGGTCAGGCAGGGAGGGTCGTCGGCTGTTGGACCTACACTCTCAGGCACCATCCACTTGTATGTGAAGATTTCACCTGGTTTCACGTGCGCCCCTGGTTTTCGAAATCCTGAAGAGAGAAATGAAACAATTACTCAAAACAACAACCAAGAATATTTCATTTGTCGGGACCAGCAGTTAGCGTAATGGCTCTGTCACTGGACTCCCATGTAGTCAACCGTGGTTCGCGTCCTGGACCCAGTGGCTTAAAACTCATGCCAGGTGCGTGTGCGTGCATGCCCAAGATCCCGAGAGGAGAATGGAGGAGAAGGGATTGCGGCATGGCCATCACCCCTGGCGGGGGGGGGGGGGGGTGATTTCTCGCTTTCTGTCTCTCTGTCTCTGTCTGGCGAGCGCACGCGCCCTATAGCAAAAACCTCTCCAAAATAAAAAGAATATTACATTTGTCAGACTGGGTCTTCCAGCCCTGGTATCTCTCTGATGATGCTATACTGGGTCAACGGGAAGTCGTGGTGTGTTTTTGCATAGAAAAACAGAAAAATATGTCATCTTTCCCGATGACCTAGTACTCTGAAGGCTGTTGTTTTCTCTTATGTATTCACCAGAGGAGGCTACGGCCAGTCTGTTGCTTCATGAGAGAGAAGTTTAAATCAAAGGATTATTTTTTTCCTAGATTGCATACTATTTCTTTTAAAAAAAATATTTTAATTTATTATTAGTTTTATTTTTGAACTTGCTATAAGGCACAAGTGCTCAACAGAAAGAGGAAGGGATAGGGAAAGTGAGAAAGCAAGCTACCAGGTCCAAGACCTGATCCATGGTCAGCCATGTGAGAGTCCAGCAGCTCAACCACCTCGCCACCTGCTGGCCCCAGATTACCTACTATTTCTAATCAAATACCAAGTTTAACAAATATTAAAAGAGTGATGGTGATAGTGGCCCATTCAACAACTCCTATGGTTTGAATGCACCTCCACCCCTAATTCATGTATTGAGATTTGGTTGTGAAGGTATTCAGAGGAAACGTAATACTTTCATGGAGTCAAAGGATGGCACCTTTAGAGACCAGCAGTAGTATGGTGGTATGGGGGTTAAGGCACTGGATTCCCACATGGCCAACTGTGGGAGTCCTGAACTCAGTGGTTTGAAAGTCACACTGGGTGCGTATGCATACGTGCTGAAAATCCCAAGAGGAGAATGGAAGGGAAGGGACTGTGGCATGGCCATCCATCCTAGGGGGTGATTTCTCACTTTCTCTTTCTCTGTGTCTCTCTCCTCTCTGGTGAATGCATGCACCCTATGGCAAAAACCTGAAGAAAGAAAGAGAGAGAGAGAAAGAGAGAGAGAGAGGGAGGAAGGAGGGAAGAAATGAAGGAAGGAAGGAAGAAAAGTGGCAGCTTTGAAAGTGGCTAGTTGCAGTGGGGCTCCTGTGATTGACTCCTGGTAGGTTCACAAGGACAGGGAATGAGAAGAGGAGACAATAGATGGGGAGACACAGAAGCATGTGCTCCTGCTCTCTCACTATGACACCTGCATTAATCTCAGAATCCCCACCAACAGAAAAACCCCAGAGATGGCCCCTGGACCTCAGACCTCCAACTGCATTCTCTTAAGTTACCCGGACTCAGATGGTTTTTGTTATTAGCAACAAAATGGACTAGAACAATGTCTAAATGTTAATCCATAAAATATCAAACGCCTTTTATGTGCAATATATTACACTAGACCTTGCAGAGGGTACCCCGAAATGTAAGCAATAGACTTATCTTTACAGTGCTAGAAGTCTAGGGGACTGACCTAGGAAATGTCCCCAATAATTGCAAGAAGGGGAAGGAAAGTAGATGCCCAAAGTGGAGGGATGGCAGCGGATGCCCAAGGTCATAAAGCTGCTAAATGGCAAAGCCTAGATTTGAACTCTAGTGTGTCTGATTCTAGAGACAGTGCAGATGACTGTCCCATCATATTGCCAGAAATGCAGAGAGTCCTTCCTGCAGACAAGGCCAGTCTGCATCTCTCTCTACTGTTCTGCAAAAAGTACCCAATAAATTTGCCAAGTTTGGTGGGGGGGGGGGCAAGAAAATAAAAATAATTATGTGCAATATATTACACTAGACCTTGCAGAGGGTACCCCGAAATGTAAGCAATAGACTTATCTTTACAGTGCTAGAAGTCTAGGGGACTGACCTAGGAAATGTCCCCAATAATTGCAAGAAGGGGAAGGAAAGTAGATGCCCAAAGTGGAGGGATGGCAGCGGATGCCCAAGGTCATAAAGCTGCTAAATGGCAAAGCCTAGATTTGAACTCTAGTGTGTCTGATTCTAGAGACAGTGCAGATGACTGTCCCATCATATTGCCAGAAATGCAGAGAGTCCTTCCTGCAGACAAGGCCAGTCTGCATCTCTCTCTACTGTTCTGCAAAAAGTACCCAATGAATTTGCCAAGTTTGGTGGGGGGGGGGGCAAGAAAATAAAAATAATCTGGCTATTGTTGGGCTTCTCGCTTCATGGACAAACACAGAGCCACCCTGAACTTTTTGACCGAGGAAGAGGGCGCAGACACGGGAGATGCTGCTGCAGCGGGAAAGGTGAGGATGGGACTGGGGAAAGGGTGCTCCCTCTGTTTCTTCCTCCTCTGTCTCCTCACCAAGAGCACAAGCCTGCTTCCCAGGCTGGGCTTACACGGTGTGCCGATGTACCCCAGGCAGCCATTGTCTGTTGCAGAGATGGGGATGAGTACCAAGAGCCCGGGAGTTTTCTAAGAGTAGTGTCATGAACGGAGGGACGGTTCTTGCAGCTGCTGGGCCAAAGCTGCCTGACGGACATGCAGAGGGCCTGTGCTCCCTGCTCTGTGATGGAGAGAGGCCATGCTGATAAGCACATAGGCACATAATGCTCGTTTTAAATAAGTATGCATTGATAGAAACAGAGCAAAGACCATGTAAAAGATTTTTATGTCAACACAACATTGGAAACCAAATCTTTCCCTCAGCTATCACCCACAGAATCCCATGCAACCTGCAGCAGACAAACTCTCCCTCTTAGAGTAGAAATGAGTATACAAGTAGCTCAGTTTGAGGTTTATGACATTAATGAAAGAAAAGAAATTAACATGTCCTTGGAGCCACTGTGGGCCAGACCCTCCCCTGAATTCTCTCTATCCCCTCCCAAAGTCTAGGAGGGGATTATATTATCTGCATTTCAAATATGAAAAGAACAAGGTTCAGAAAGTTTAAATATGAGATTGTTGGGGAAGTCATGACATATTTTTGCATAAAAAAATGACAACCCAATAATTTCCTGACAATCCTTAATTTCCTGACAACCCAATAATTTCCCAGGCTTTCAAGGCTGGTAAGAGAAGAGACCAGGATTGGAACCAGGCATGCCTAGTGCTAAGTCCTCTGCTCACTTGGCCTGCTTCCTCCCTGACCCCAGCTGAGACTTACCATCTATGTTTGGGGCTGCATCTGATGCCTTGTCATAGATCACACCATGGGGTAGGATGCTATAGACTTTGTCGGCTCTGTTGGCAAAGGTCACTAACAGGGTGTCACCCACCTCTGCCTTGATGACTGGGCCTGGAAAATATCAAGAGAAGAGAGAGGAGAATGAGAAGAGACAGAAAGGAGTGAAGAGACGCAGGAGAAGAAGAGTCATCCTACATGTGTATGTACAGGCCTGGCTACAAAACCTTCCCTTGTTCAAAACAAGAGAGGTGGTTTCACGGTACCAAGAATTCCAAGATGGGCTTCTGTCTCTGAGAGTTTCTTTCTTCGAGTAAAAGTTGCATCAACATACTCCGTGTACCGAGCCTTCCAATATCTTCCTCCTATCCTGTTGTTCCCTTGTGTGAAGTAGAACTCGGAGTCACTGCAGAAAGACACAGGAATCTGACTGAGCACGCATCTTGGTATATCCACCTGTCATGACCCGCATGGCTGAAGTGTACCTGAGTGGGAGCGACGGTGCTTAGAAACAAACACAGACACGTAAGTAGAGAATAGCGGGGATTGGGTGGTCCAGACTCCTCTGGTGGAGTCAGTCATGGTCCCAAGCTGTTCCCAGGTTTATTCTTTCATAGGACAAAAAGGGGAGGGAGAAGTGGAATGCAAAGTCAGTTTTTTCCTGATGTTATTGACAGAAGATGTGGAACCTCTGGCATCTTGTTGTTCTATACGAGCTTTCTCTTATCTTCCCAGGCTTTCTCTGGCTAACACAGCTCTGCTAACCAGCGCTGTCCTGCAGTGTTGACACAAGAAGAGCAGAATATTACCCTTGTTAAAACTTTTGCTAGCCCTACAGTGTCAGCACAAGGACTTGCTTCTGCTCCTGTTTAAAGGTCTCTATTGTGTTGCTCAGATCTGGCTGCTCCCTGCATCCACCAAACGCCTTAATGGTGGAACTTCATTTTATCTTTATCCCATTCATCCTCCTATCTCCCCAGAAAAATCAGCACAGTCTTCAACAAAGTTCCCAGGGATAGTCAATCAGCCATAAAGTCTTCAGAAGCTCGGTGACATTCAAGCTTATTTCTCTCTTAGCCTTTGTGCTTTCTTCCCCAGAGGTCCTGCAACTGAAGAAGGTTCAGGCAAACTCCTTACTTAGTGACACCGGAGTCCCAGAACGGTGTCCTACAGAGTAACAAAGAGCTAACTGATTTCTCTGAAGAATAAGCAGCCCCCCCCCCCCTTGCTGATGTCAATATGAGCAGCCTCTACATATAGAAAGCTCTTTGATATCTGGTATGGCTAAGGAAGGGAGAGTCTAGTTAATCAATAGTTTGATTAACGCAGGATTCTCATATTGATTATATATATGAAATACTAAGTTTCAAAATGGTGAAATACAATAATAAAAATTCCAACTAGTACTATCTCCATTCCAATTTCCATCAATGGTACCATTGCTCCGTGGAGTCAGGTAGACTGTCTTCATCTTTCTTCTCTCTCATCCTCTTACCTGGTTCATCCTTACTTAGTGAAAAAAATTTTCACCATTCCTTTTTCCCTCCTGTTTGCATCTTTTCATTTCCTCCCACTGCCACAGCTGCAGTTCATGCCCTCATCTGGTTGGGATTGGGCTCATAAGGACCTCCTGACTGAGCACTCCGCATCCTTAACTCACACTGGTGTATCATTTTATTTTTCTCAACACACACACACACACACACACACACACACTATTACAACATTAATCTCCAAAATGGAAACTTAATCACGTATCTGCTCCAATATCTTCAGTTGCTTCTAAACGCCAATCAGATAAAATTCCAGAGGACTACAGAATCACTGCACTTGATATCCAGTGTCCAGCGTCCCAATGCTCCCCTAAGGCTCCGTGCAAATG